TTTTACACGTTTTTTGAAAACTGGAGCTTATACCAGACGACTTGGAACTGGTCCCCAACGAAGAACTAGCGCTCATGATGATCACTTTATCATCTTACAAAGTCTGCGAAATCGTCATGCTACGGCTGTTGAAATCAGAAATCGACTTCATCACGTTGGGCAAACCAACATAAGCGAACGGACAGTTAGACGAAGACTCGGAGAAGCCAATCTTACCAGTCGTAGACCTGCAACAGGCCCAGAGCTTCTTCTTAGGCGTCATCATGATACTATTACTCGAGAAGATAAGCCCACTTGACGATCCAATTTCGACCACGTTTGCGCATGACGTCACTCGATGACAACAATCCAGCTCGTGGGCATGGAAAAGCATTACGCTAGAGCGGTTTTAATCAATATTTTATGTTTATTTATTATAATATCGATATATTATTTTTATAATATTGATATATTATTAAATTAAATATTTTTTGGCTTGCCTAATCATCTTAAAATGTCTCAAAATGTGTAAAAAAAGTATTGAGCAAAAAAAAATTTCTGTCTAACGGTATTCACCATAACTTTTAAAGGAATTGCGCTATAGAAAGGTGTTATTCCATTAGGGGTCGGATTGGAATATTTTTGAGTAAAATTGGTTAAGGGGAAGGGGGTGAAATGTCGGGGAAAATAATAAAAAATTGCAATTTTTCGTAAAAAATCGAGTGATATGTCGTTATATAGGTTTTTGGCTATGAACATTTTAATTCTATTATCCGTTTAATATTTTGATAATTAGAAAAGGAGTAAAAAGGGGAGGGGTAAAAATTTAAAATATTTTAAAAATCGAGTTTTCTCGTACTATTTTAATATTAAAATGCGTTTAGTGATTTAATAAAAAAATTACAGGTAGGGGTAAAAAGGGGAGGGGGTAAAAATTCAAAATATTTGAAAAAAAATTCAAGTTAAATCTTATTTTAGAGCTTTTAAAGTATAGACATTTTCATTTTACAATTAATTTAATATTTTTATAAAAATTACGGATGAATGTAAAAAAGGAGGGGTAAAAATTAAAAATGTTTGGATAAACAAGTAATAAATCGTCTTAAAAGTTAAACATCTACAGTATGGTTCAAATGAAAGGAATAAATTCATTATAATGGAAGTAGGTGGTTTTTCGAAAAAATGCTCGGACAGGTCAATTTTGTTTACTAAAAGCGCAATTTTTTAAATAGAATTAAATTTTCCCCCACTTCCCATTTTTGGGCAGTGACGTCATTGACAATTTTTTTAAATAGTAACCCCAATTTTTTTTTCTTGATTTTGATAGATCTTGCAATTTCCTACTCGGAAACATAATATTTGAAATATCTGACATAACAATTTTTTTTGAATAAGTCATTTAAAGATCAGATACATAAATTTTATTTTATTTTGAAACACAATAAATAAAAGATTATTTGTAATTAAGTGCTCATCTAAAAAAAAAAATAATAAAAAGAATTTAATGACAATTTCACAAATTCTTTTTTATTATTATTATTAATTATTTTGTTAGATTAAGCACTTAATTACAAATAATTATCTTTTATTCATTTATTGTGTTCTCAAAATAAAATAAAATTTATGTCTGATCTTTAAATGTCTTTTATTAAAAAAAAATTGTTATGTAAGATATTTCAAATATTATGTTTCCGAGTAGGAAATTGCAAGATCTATCAAAATCAAGAAAAAAAAATTGGGGTTACTATTTAAAAAAATTGTCAATGACGTCACTGCCCAAAAATGGGAAGTGGGGGAAAATTAAATTCTATTTAAAAAATTGCGCTTTTAGTAAACAAAATTGACCTGTCCGAGCATTTTTTCGAAAAGCCACCTACTTCCATTATAATGAATTTATTCCTTTCATTTGAACCATACTGTATAGAAATTTTGAAGTATTGATTCAATTTGCAGCAGTATGTTTTTGGTTGTTATTGTTTGAACAACCCACCACTGCACAGTATACCATAGTAAATGTTTAAAACAATGTTTTTAAATATAACATATAAAATGCTTTACGCACGTTTACTTCTAAAACCCAACAAACCAATAAAACAAAATTAAATAATTATTAATACACGCAAAACCGCTTTTCGCCGTATAGAACTGGCTGTTGCCGAGTCGGGTAGTCTCCCAGTGACGTCAGGCGTGCGAGAGAGATGGGCTGATCGCATGCGCGTGGGTTTATCTTCTCGAGTAATAGTATCATGAGGCGTCATCCTATTGCGCGATTTCAGTTTGTCAGAAATCATGAGCACTGGGGTGAAAATGAATGGGGGCGCATTTTGTTTACGGATGAGTCCAGATTTAGCCTGCGGTCTCCAGATGGTCGTGAGAGAGTATGGCGAAGACCACAAGAGCGTTTCGCAGAATGTACCTTCAGTCCTAGGGTAGGCTACCAAGGAGGCTCAGTTATGGTGTGGGCCGGAATTTCTATGGAGACACACACAGAATTGTACATCCTTCCGAGAGGCTCCTTAACTGCTGCCAGGTACATTGATGAAATTCTCCAAGATTTTGTTGTCCCTTATGTTGACTTTATTGGAAATTACTTTCTTCTAATGCATGATAATGCCAGACCTCACATCGCGAGAATCACTCAACAGTACTTAAACGATGTAAACATTCCTGTTATGGAGTGGCCAGCGTTAAGCCCGGATGCGAACCCAATTGAACATGTTTGGGCGAAGGATGCGAAGTCGTGTTCCTGCTCCTTTAACTTTAAATCAGTTGCAAGAAGCTCTTTTAGAGGAATGGGAACATATTCCTCAAGGACATTCGCCACTTAATTTTAGGCATGCCAAGGAGGATGCAGGCTATTATTCGAGCACGTGGGGGCAACACACGTTATCAAAAATGCGGCTCCCCAGTTTTTGCTAGCAAGTCGTTTCAGTTTTGATTAATTTAAGGTCATTTAGCAACAACACCAATTTGTGCTTTTTCTTCAAATAAAAGTTCAATTGTTGTTAGAAAATACTTAAAACATGTTGTTTTGTTTAAGATATTATAATAATAAAACATCACAAAGCATTAAAATTTTAAGTTTGTTTAAAAAATTCAACTGCTCCGTTTTTCGTTCCGGGGAGTGTATAAAAAGGTAAAAAGAGATTTTATTGCAAAGTTTAGAGAACAGATAGAGCAGTGAGAGGAATCGAGGCAGACAGAGCAGTGAGAGGAATCGAGGCAGACAGAGCAGTGAGAGGAATCGAGGCAGACAGAGCAGTGAGAGGAATCGAGGCAGACAGAGGAAACAAGCAGTCCAAGAAAGTAGACGGTGAGCAGAGGAGACAAGGAGTTAAACATAAAAGAAAGATAAAGAGAAGTTTCATTTTAATGTGAGAGGAAAGTGTAGCAGATAACAGAAGTAGCAGGTTGGAGTACAGACGAGGAGCAGGAGAAGTAGGACAAGTGTAAATTAAAAATTTAAAAAAACCGACTTCAAAAACGTGCAGATGCCATCACAACATCTTAACCAAATTTATATGGGATCACCCCTGAGGTACCCCCTTTCTAACAAAAAAGAATCATATAAATCGGACAAGGTAGTAAAGCATTATCACTAAACATACATAAAAAATGAAGAGTTTGAGGATTTTCTCATGGACCCAATTTTTAGATTTTGACCAAATTTATATGAAGTAGCTTCTTTCTAACAAAAAAAGAATTATTGAAATCGGTCACCGTGTTAAAGAATTATCGCTGAACATACATAAAAAAAAAAAAAAAATATCGCGACGAATTGATAACCTCCTCCTTTTTTGAAGTCTGTTAAAAAGCCTCTAAGAAAAATTAAAAAAAAAAATTTTAAAAATTCCTGAGGAACATAAGCTGCTAAGTCTAAGCAGTTAAGGCGCTAGAGTCGATCGAAATTCACGAAAAATGATTAAAAAACACTCATTTTCAGCACGCTGCCGTTAATCAGAGGTATTGACTGAGCAAATTATCGATGCTTACACTTAAACTACTATCTTTCCCCCTAAGAATTTCGCTTTAATAATGTAGTTATCTTCAAAAAGAAAAATTTCAGAGGAAAAGTCGATAAGATTTAAAAATATTGATTTTTTAAAAAGTCCTTATTTAAATAGGCGGAAACGAGTGCTTATAAAAAGCAAACTCGTGTAAATTTTCTTCTTTGAGACCCTAAGGAATAGTTCCTCGAAGTTACACCAAAATCTAAGATGGGACAGCTTTGCCAATTAGAAGATTTTAAATAGAATGACTCTAATGTGAAATAGGCTAAGCCACTGATCACACATCAAGAGGATGACAGCAAGTGAAAGTGTCAAATAATAGTTATTCTTTGTTGTAATAATTAAAACGTTACTATCTGTATTTGTGATTTTTATTTTAAGACATCTTTTTATTAAACCATAGCCACGCCATTGAATTTCCTACAATACCATTTAGCATCACTGGTATTAGCAAAGTTAAATTTTCCGCAGATATTAGCATTAATAGTTCGGGTTGGTGGCGTAGCGGTCTCACGCGCTTATATTCATTTATAGGAAAGTTCGTGGTTCACAGACAGAACGACTTCGAATCCTTCATCAGGCCATGTAAAATTTTAATTAAATTGCATGGTTCGTTATAGGATTTGATGGGTGCCGTGTTAACAGAAATTTAATTTCTGTTGATATCGACATCCAGATTATACATCGTTATGCGTTACCTTTTCAATGATGGTGGGTGAGGTTTTCCTTACCTGTGTCAAATGGCACCATCAATCATCTTTAAGTCGCCCTGGAAAATAATAATAACCCTTTCCCACACAAGTTCAGTAGGATTCAGGTTGAAATTCACTCATAGGGGTGAATTAGGGAGAGCATTATTATATGGTGGTCTTTAGCCTTATCAGAAAATTAATTTCCCTTTTTGAGGACATTCGAAGTAACATAGGTATTGTTATTTTTTTCGTTCCACTATTGTTTAGCAATAATCATAAGGTGTAAAATAGGAAGTAAACGTAATAAAACACAGGTTATTGCTGGTTATCGTGGATTTATTTCCAACTCCTCTTACAATTCTGGTAAAAAACATTAAGACTCTAAAAAGTTACCGCGCTGGTCGCCATTATTCCCCCCAACCCAATCCCACAGTGGGCGCCAGCCGCGTTTCGCCGATCAACACCGAAATCAGAAAACATTTTAAATGCAAAGAGACATATACTAATAATTATTCTAATGGCGTATCATTAATTTTTTTCTGATTTTTTTATTCTTTAAAGATAATGAAAAGATAATCATATCAGATCACAAAATATCTATTAGTTATTGTAAACAAACGGTTTATATGACACACCCGGTTATTATTATTATATCAAACTAAGGAACGTTTTGAAATTCATCAATTTGCGAGTCCATCCGACCAGGGAATCTCCAATTATTACTTAAACGAGTAAGATAATCGAGAGAAATACAAGATTGATCAGTATGCCTGGACTGTAAAGTCCCAGGAGGTTTAGACAAATTCCTCGATTTCCAAAGAGGAATTTTTTGTCTTATACTAAGAAAGTTAGGAAAATCCCGGGCAAATTTGGAAATCAACTTTAAAAACTTAAAGAGGAAAGTATCGTTAGGAAACTTAGAATTCTTTAACATTTAAAAAATTGGGGAATTCCTGGACTATTTAAAATACACAGAAAAATGCGTTGTTGATGATTCGACAAGGATATGGATTTTAAAAACATGGTGTATCATTAAACCAAAAAAACCGAACGGACGTCTCAAGCGGGCAAATATAAAAAAAAGCATGGAGAAAAAGTTGTTCACATTACAATTTGGTGCGTTTGAGTGCAAATTTAATTTTTAAATTACCTTTAACGACTTGTCTTTATTATTATTATTATTATTATTATTATTATTACATTTACGCAATCGCAAATTTCAATTTCCATTAAAGTAAACTTAATGCAAATTTCCATTAAAGTAAACGACAGCCATTAAAAAGACTTTCTACAAATCGACCACATAGATTCCCTTTTTATTATTGAATACAACTTAAAAAAATATACACCATTTTAAACGTTATTTTTATTGTTGCGAGGCGCTGGAGACGTTCGTTCCGATAATATATAAACATTTAAAAATTATTGATAAATTTACAATTGACCGGAGTCAGCGACGACGATTTTCTTTGACGTTTTACCGGACTGGGAGCCCCACGTTTCGATCTTTTTCACGACGTCCATGCCTTCGACTACTGCGCCGAAGACGACGTGCCTGTTGTCCAACCTGAAATTAAAAAACATTCAAATTCTAGAAATAACCAATAAGTTTTAGGGTTTTCCAAAGTTATTTAAATTTCAAAATGTGGTGGATTAGGTTAAACCAACAAAAAAGCTGGTTATCCAGCAATATCGCAGATAATCAACATGGTGAAACAAAAAAAGCTTTGTTAACACTCAATGCTATTCAAAACCTGGTTAAGGTTCAGCTCTTGGGGCTGGTTAGGACAGTTCGGGTCCAGATATTGAGACCAAATTGCATATGGATGTATTTTTCCATAAAAAAACCCCGTTCCTAGCTGATATGGAGGTGACGCCCTCAAAAAATAAAGCCTTAAAATAATACTTTTATAATGAACTCACCATGCGGTCTTGACGGTGGTGATGAAGAACTGAGATCCGTTCGTGTCAGGACCGGCGTTGGCCATGGACATGACTCCAGGTCCGGTGTGCTTTAAGGTGAAATTCTCGTCGTCGAATTTGTTGCCGAAGATGGACTTGCCACCGGTACCGTTGTGGTTGGTGAAATCGCCTCCTTGGCACATGAAGTTGGGGATGACACGGTGGAAGGTGGAGCCTTTGTAGCCGAAACCTTTCTCGCCGGTACAGAGGGCGCGGAAGTTGTCCGCCGTTTTCGGGACGACGTCGCTTCTCAACTGAAAACACGATAAAATCGTAAATATGGATGTTGCGTTACCGCCAAAGTATCGATACCCGAAATTGATTTTTTTAAGCTGTACCTATTTAAAAAAAAAAGATCATAGGTAAGTCATTAAAATATAACCAATGGCAAAGTGGTCCTACCCTACATTTTTGGTAGTACAATGCTTTCAAAACTTGTTAGTAAGTAAAGAAACGGAAGTAGTTTCGATATGGGTAAAGTATCAAAAAGTAAAGTATCGATACTAAATTACTCGGTATCGATATCAGTAGCATCGCAATCGTAATTGAGGCGCCAGCGGAATACAAGGATCGTTCTGAAATCAATATTAATGATTTTATTTTTAATCATCCGATTTCGAGGAGAAAACAAATATGTGGCAGATGTCTAGTAATTAACGACAGATGTAATGAGTCTTTAATGAAAATTATTTGTCGCATACAACTATTAAACTGTCCACTGGTCAACTAGTCTTCTGATAGTTCTCAATGTATTTTTGAAGAATTCGGACAGACCTAGTATGTGAGCTGTGGCAATATTTTAAAGACCAAAAAGATAAACAAAATGATTGAAGTTACTGCATTTAATTTTTTTCTGTTTCAGTTTATATGGATGGTTGCCTTTTATCTTATTTCCCAAGATTCAACAAGAATATTTTTGTTATTTAGAAAATTTATAAGGCATTAGTTTTTTCAAATCAAGTACATGAATTATTTGTTTTGCAATTTCTGATTTTCATTATTTTAACCGAAGATAGTTAATGTACACCGTACACCTAAATAATAATGTGATATTTGTGATATTAGAGTAACTTTCTTAAAGATAATAAATATTTGGAGTAGAATTTGTTTTTAAGTCAAATTCATTAGATAATCTTTAGAGAATAACATTTTCGTGAAATTAGGAGTATTTTTTATAGAAACTAGTAAACATTTGTAAAAATAGATTGTACTTTGTATGGAAATAAACTAATATAGACAAATAATGATGGTGGGTTATCCGGGTTTTCCTCACCTGCAGTTATCTTTAAGTCAGCCTAGAGTGCCATAGCAAATAATAACTATTCTTGCCACTCACAAGCTCTTCTTGGGGTTTAACTCATGTAGGGTGAAGTGTAGGAAAATCTATTATTATTGTTGTATTGCCATTAATTTAATTTATTTTTCTTGGGAATTTTTAGTAAATATAATTATATAAAACTTTGTATGGTATTTATTTTACCCCTCATAGTTATTTGTCATAGAATTTTACATTTTTATTGGCATTTCATAATTGTTACAAACAGCTAATAAAAAAGCAAAATTTTAAATATAATTAAGAGAATAATGTACTTTAGCAATTATCTTTTTCTAACCAATACGAAATAGAGCTATGAACATTTCTAGTTTATTTTTAGTGAATGAATAATATGTACATTCAGGTAAAAGTGAAATATTTGTTTCTCTGGAGCCACTATTTCGAAATGTGATTTATTTTCTCAAAAATTGAGAAAATCTTTATGAAACAAAATTTTACGATTTTTGCCATCAAAATTGATCAAATTTTAAAAAAGTGGCTCCAGAGGAAAGAACGTCTACCTTCACTTACATGTTTTTTTCTTTCACTAAAAATGAAAAAAATTAACTGAAATTTTGGATGCCTATATTTTGTATTAGATTGAAAATAATTGTTAAAATAAATGCTCCTCTTAGTGGAAGTAAAATAAGCCCTCCAATTTTCAAATTAAATATGGTATTATGGGCAACTGCATTACCAACAGAGTAATGATTGAACCATATTGAACAGTTAATATTGCAGGCAACTATATTACCGACAGAGTAGGATTAGTTGAACCACCCGCCCCCACAGGTCGCTGCAAGCAAACTTGTTGCCAAATTTCTACAAAGACACGGCAACTCTTAATAATCCTTCCTCCATGCTGAAAATGTATTTATCTTAATCGTAAGGAGTTAAGATAGCACTGGCAGAATTCGTTAACGATCTGTCAAATGTTTTCAAAGTTTAATTTGCGATTATTTGGACAGTGTGTCCTGTTTAAAGTGACGAGATGTTCAGTTTGATGGGTGTACCTATGCAGAGAACGAAGTAAAAAATAACCGATTTTTTTTCAATTCTTAGTATTTTAGCGACAATAAACCCTACTAAAGCAGCAATCATAGTGATTGTAGCCTGTAGCAAATTATCCAAAAACTGCGTAATATCTAGCCATTTCTAAGAACATTATTGGTTTAACTAAACTTAAGGATGCCACAAGCACTTCCGGTTTTTCATAACAATATAAATTTGAATTTTAGTCGTTTCCTACGTAGATGTAGCTACAATCTCTAACCTTCATATTTTGTCCATTATATCGCAAGAGTCGTCCAGTTAAATAATTTAAGCAACCATACTTTTATTTTATATTATCAATAGATGATTTCATCGGAAGACATAATAGAAGCAGGATTTAATTTCAAAGGAAACTGTAAATTATCATTTCGGCAATCTGTCTAAGGTTATAGTGCAGCATATTTTTTTTTCCTTGTCTTCTTTAGCTGTATGGACTCAGATTTTCACTAGCACTATCTGAGGTCTACCTGGCTTGCCAAGATGCGAGTGTTAGGGCTTTTATGACTGATTTTTGTAGAATAAAAACTTTTTAAAAACGAAACACTGGCACAATAGTGAAAAACTGAGCCCATAACACAATCTAGTACTTTTCATTTATTAAAATTTAATATAAATTAATTATATAAAAACATAGTTTGTGGATTGACTGTCTAAAAAAATGCGTCGAAATCAGGCGTCAGGTCATTTCAAATAATCGTATATACAGAGTCCGCCTGAAAATTTCGAATAGCTTTATTTCTGGTAAAATTTAATTTTGGAATTTGAATGTGAGGCGGCAGTGCATCGAGGAATCCACATATTTTTCATACATAGGTTGAGTTTACGTAGCGAATAAAATATTTTATCAAAATTTTAAATTAAAATATCTTAAAACTTAATTTTTGTAACTTTTTTTATTATGTAGGTACTCTAAAAAAAGTGTGCAATATAAGAGGATGGTCTGAAAAGTTTCCAACCTAACAAAGATACAAGAATTTTTTTCTTTAAATTTATTTTTCTACATAGTCTCCTTGTAAGTCTACAACTTCTCCCGTCCAAATAGTACTCGACGTCTTTCTTTCTTAACAAAATAATTTTTTACGAAGGCGATGGCCTCTTCATTTGACGAAAATCTGTTCTCCGAGCGCAATTTTTAGATTAGGGAACAAAAAGAAGTCGCTTTGGGCTAGATCTGGTGAGTAAGGAGGGTTGTCAATCAGTTCAAACTGTAATTCGTGAATTTTCGCCATGGCAACCGCTGAGGTGTGAGACGGCGCATTGTCTTGGTGAAACAATTTTTTTCTGCAAATGTAGCAGTTTTCCGCAATTTCTGCCTTCAGCTTTTGTCAAGCAATGATCGTACTATGCTCCTGTAATGGTTTTTTCCTTTTTGAAGATAATCGATTAAGATAACTCCACGACTATTCCAAAAAACAGTCGCCATCACTTTTCCAGCCGAACACATACATTTAAAAATAATCAATTGTATAGGGTTAAGGTGTAGATGGTGAAGGTGCAGGCATAGGTTAGTTTTTATTTTCAGGTGAACGTTACCGAAAGCCAAAGACGCCCTTTAAACTAAATTATACATATCTACAATATAAATAAATTCCTGGTCTACCCGGATTCATATTTTTTTAATAAAAAATTGTTTATGTTCATTCTAAAAATTATTTAAAATAGTTCAAGGTTTTTTTATATGTATTTTGTTATTTTTACAAATTTAGTGAATTTAATAAAGCTTTTTACTGGATTCAAACTAATAGTAGTCGTAGTAATAATAATAATAATAATAATAAAAAACTTTTTTAAGAATAAATGGATTCATGAGTGTTTTGTCTGATTTTTTTTTTTTTTTTTTTTTTGAACTATCAACCCAAAGAATGCTTTAAGGAGATCAGTTAAGAGAAAATAAAGCGATTTTTCTAATGCATTACTTGAAAGGAATGGATTAAATCCCTAAGAAACAACCTTATTTACTATAAAGGTTTTGCAAAATAGACTTTATTTTTTATTGTAATTTGTAAACAACAAACTTTAAAGTATCATCCAAACTATTCCAAATATTTTTCTACAAGATTTCAGATAACAAAATGAGTTACATTAAATAGAATTTTCCATATTTTGACGGCAAAACATCAGATAAGTTTGAATCGATAAAATAAAACTTGAGGCATGCAGAGTTGGGAATTTTCCTAAGAATGTTGTGCTAGACTTTTACATTATTTAAACTAGTTTTAATCAGTATTGTTTTTTTTGCCTTTTTGTATGGACCTTATTTCAACTTTTATCGATTATACCCAAAACGGAAAAGTAGTGCAGTGATTAATTTATGGGATTTTTAGTATTAGAGCGGTATTGGACAAGATAAAGGGTGACACCGAAAACTTCCCACCCTGAAGGTCCTTTCACTAAATAATAGTGCAGACACTTTCATACTTATGTAACTTTGAAACGCAATTTTTTTGGAACCTGCTGGTCAGAAGATAATAAATTAGGGTACCATTGGAAAGAGAATTAAACGCCCTTTAAAACGATGTGTCGCTTGACCCCCTTCCCATTTAAGATTTTAAGGGTAACATCTAGGAGGTTGAGCCACCAGTGTTAAAAGTATTCATTGTAGGTATCCTCCTTGAAAATAAAATTGACGGGTTTTTGCGAATTTTCATATTATTTACTGGAAGGAAGATATTCAGGGCGGGAAGTTTTCGGTGTGTTACCCTGTATGATTGCGATTGCAAATAACCTTTATCACTTCACTTCATTTGATACACAACTTAGGAGACTAAAATTAAGCTATTTGCAGCTTTTATTAAGTAAGGGTCAAAATAAGCCCCAAATCTCAAATATAAATAAGTTTTTATGGCAAATTTATATGCAATTCAATCAAAGGGTTTACAAATCAAA